TTTAACGCTGTGGTATTTACACAGTGTAGTACAATGAAATATCAATACCTTGTATTCAAAATCTGAAACAAAAATAATTCTAATATAAGTACAGTAGCAATAAGATCCTGCTACCCTATAACTTACCTTCGAGTTGAAACAACCTTATAATGATCACCGCAAAACACAATTAATGATATATATAACCCAATATTTCTAACAGTTTCAAAATATTTCTAAATAATAAACAAGCTATAGAATTCAAGTTCAAGAACACAAACCTGAAAAACAGCAAACACTGATATGTAAACTCGCACAGCTGTCACAACAACTAGCATACACTTATGAATGTCATGTCAATGTTATGAGAAATAGTTATCAGATAAATAGATTCCTTATAATATTATAGAAAGGATAAAAAAAACCCAAAAATACTTTAATTTAACTATAAGAATAACCAATTATAGTAAAACTTTACACTTACATGATAATAATTTAATCAATAAAGGGAAGTGCCAGAAAAAAAATGCAGCAAAAATATTTTATACCCTAATCAAATTTACCCTAACAGAAATAATATTTGAAGAGAAAAATACTGATAGAACTCCAAACACAACTGTCAAGAAAGGAAAAAACAAACCAAAACTACCTAACAGTGAGGTGAATGAACGCTAGGTATGTATCACAGTAAAGTATTGATAATCACATATTAAATGAATAAAGACTGACTGTATCTATTGATAAATATTTTCAACTACAAGTACAAAGTATTATGTAAGTTACATGACGACATAGCAAAGATAGCAAATTTAACTTTACAGTATATTCAGTAAAAATCTAACAAATCTGAACTGCAAAATAAATATTATAAGTCACAATATCACAGAATCTCTCCTCTTCAAATGGAATAGAAGTAGTATAAATATTTCAATAATAAAGATTAAGTGTTAATGCGATACTTCACAGGAACGAATATCAAGTCTCTTCACAGCAGCTTCAAAATTATCGAAAGTTCATACACAGGAAACGGGAAATCGGAAACAGGAAACGGGAAACAGCTGATCAGAATTTAGGTCATGGACCCAATGTCAAGGTCGTTGGTGTCGCACCGAAAATGTCACGTTCGTGCCTTATGAAAGATTCTCCCAAATAGTTGACGGAGACCTCAAATTCATCTTCAAATGAACGAAATAATGATGATAATAATAATAATAATGTTCATCACCATGTAGCGTTACCTTACATCAAAGTCAAGTTGACTCCTCCTCCATACGCTGGACAGCTCCTGCTGACAGAAAATCTCAATGAGGATACGTTGTCGTTGAACAACACGTTGGGCGCCGTTTGTTACCGGGGTTCACAATCACAACCAGGATCCGGCCGGTATTCTTTGGATATATTTATTCCACTCTTAAAAAAACCCCACAGCTATCATGTGGAGGTTTCCCTCAATTCCTCTCTATTAAGTCGGTTCAAGTCCAACAAGAAGCTTTACACAGCTTTTTGATAAGTTTCCCCCAAATTCAAACTACAAAATGTGTGTTTGATCTCAGCTGGTCAGGAGCAGAGTGCCCAAGTTGGCCAAAGCCTTTACACAGGTAAACTGGGGCATCCGTCCTGACCAATCATATGGCCCGTCCTTAGTCAGGTGTCATAACAACTTACTCACTCACTCACATGCACACACAGGTAAGTACGTGTCACATACACAGTACATGTCACATACACAGGCAGATTCATTAAAGGTCCTTACACCATTTTTCACACCAGACAACATATGTAAATACCAAACATGTATAACAAAATCTAATACATACAATACATATATTAGTAATAATTACTTACAATACAAAATATATGCCCTATTACAATTGCTTGATTGATTGATTGATAGGTTTAACGTCCGCTTCACCTTGTATTACTCATCCTGGCTGATTCAACAAATCAGCAGGCGGTTATCTCCAGTCTACGGAAGTAGCCATATACAAAATCCCGGATGATGTACAGGTAGATCGTAACACAGTTGATTTAGGTACAACAATAATTGTCCCTGACATAACATACTTTATACCTAAACTACATGTATTTATATGTTCATTTAATCACCATATATTCTGCACACATTCCATAAAATAATAACATACATCATATAACATTTCTATGTAGAATCATGGAATTAGATTAGTGTTATCTAAGTCTGTGGTAGAATATATGTTCTCCTGACATACTCTGTCACACATGTATAAAGTTTCATCAGCGATGTTCAAAAACATATATCTAAGAAAACATAGGAGAGGAATAACGCATATATCAGTTCAGATATCTTATCACTGTACAATTTTATTAATAACTGGAAACTTATAAACTATGCGTTAAAGGATTGGGCTTTGAACACTTACTTGTATAAAATTCCGTATTTACGTTTCATAAAAACGGAGTGCGTGTTGTGATCATTGGTTCCATATTTTTTACATAGGGTATTCCCGTTGGGGATTCCCTTCCGGTATTTTATTTAGACGTTTCTGATTGGTTTATATTTTTGGGATATGTTACCTTACCTGTACAGCACTCTACGCTCAGGTATGAGTCAGTATCGAGTTCAAATACTATATGCACGTGCATTTCAAGACATACAATTAAATTTCGCTATATAGCTGGGTGTTTTGGTATTGTAAATCAGTTTGGCAGAGGCTTACATGTAGCTGGTCGGCTCGTCTTCTCACTTCTTACGGGCAGGTATGTAGGAGTGTATTTTGGCTTTAGACCTCAAAATTATTCCGGGCTGGGTGGTATTTTCCCATTGTAGGCATGTTGTAATATATTATCGGAGTGTGTTTAAACTTATTCCCCGGGGTGGGATACCGGGTGGACATTTTTGAGGGCATATGTTACACGGTATATATACTGTTTGTAGTATGGACCGGTCGAGTGGTTGACGTGCTGTAGCATTGTGCATATCTATTCTATTCACCATTTTTCATCTAATCTACTTCACTGTTTCATTTTGCAAATAAATTGTAGAACTTTATAAAACGTGTTGCCATGCATTGACCTGTAGCCAGCTGAAGTTAAGTAAAGACAGAACCACAGAGTTGACGAACGAAAAATCACTATACGAGGACAAAACTTTTACACTATGTAAGGGGAAACTCTGAGATTTAAATTAATAATTTTGATAAATGTATAGATAACTTTCTGGGGTAAACGTGTCAAAATCAATTCGAAACAATTACAGAGCTGGTTAAAGCGGTATTGTAATGCATGGAGATTGTTGTGATAAGCAATGACCTCATAATGTACGTGGCCCACTTAATCCGGACAACTTTCAGTAAAGGATAGAAAGTGATAAAACTTTAAAGCTATGTGTTTAATTGTTGTGTTTCTAGATTTAATGATATTTTGGATTCCTTTTTCAGAACAAAATGGCTGTACCAACGACAGCAAGTCTAGGAACAACATGTCTGATGATTACTGTGCGCAACAATGATTTCAATTTGGTACGGCATTTAGTGGAGACCTATCCCGGACAGCTTCAAACAAAAAATCAGAATGGTTGGAATGCATTATTACACTGTTGTGAAAAGGGATCCATTAAGATGTTTCAATATCTTGTTCAGAACGGAATGGACACGGCAACAACAACAAATGAAGAACAAACATGTCTGATGATTGCCGTGCGCAATAATGATTTCAATTTGGTACAGCATTTAGTAAAGACCTTTCCCGGACAGCGTGATAAAAAAGATCAAAATGGTTGGAATGCATTATTACACTGTTGTGAAAATGGATCCATTGAGAAGTTTCAATATCTTATTCAGAACGGAATGGACACGGTAACGACAACAAATAAAGGACAAACATGTCTGATGATTGCAATGTTAAATAATAATTTCAGCATGGTACGATATATAATGGAGAACTATCCCGGACAGCTTGACGAGAAAGATAATAATGGTTTGAATGCATTATTATACTGTTGTGGAAAGGGATCCATTGAGACGTTTCAATATCTTGTTCAGAACGGAATGGACACGGCAACGACAACAAATGAAGGACAAACATGTCTGATGATTGCAGTGTTTAGTAATAGTTTCAGCATGGTACGATATATAACGGAGACCTTTCCCGGACAGCGTGATAAGAAAGATAATAATGGTTTGAATGCATTATTATACTGTTGTGGAAAGGGATCCATTGAGACGTTTCAATATCTTGTTCAGAACGGAATGGACACGGCAACGACAACAAATGAAGGACAAACATGTCTGATGATTGCAGTGTGTAGTAATAGTTTCAGCATGGTACGATTTATAACGGAGACCTATCCCGGACAGTGTGATACGAAAGATAAAATTGGTTGTAATGCATTGTTACACTGTTGTGTAAAGGGATCCATTGAGATTTTTCAATATCTTGTTCAGAACGGAATGGACACGGCAACGACAACAAATGCAGGACATACGTGTCTGATGATTGCAGTGTCATATAATAATTTCAGCATAGTACGACATTTGGTTGAGACCTATCCCAAAATGCTTTTAGATAGGGATATTCTAGGTTCGGACGCTTTGTGTCATTGCTGTAAGAAAGGAAGCATTGACATATTTAAATTACTTATCGAGAATGGTATGGATATTACAACGACGTTGGTTAACGATTTTGTGAACTACGCGAAAATAATATTTAACAATAATGATGTTCTAAGTATGTATATTCTAGAGAAATATACAAAGCAAATCAGGGCGACAAAAAGATTAAATCCACTACCAAGTGTATGCGTCCGCGGAAGTCTGAATGTATTCGATGCTTTGATATCTATAGGATTCGATCCCAACCGTGCTTATACGAAAGGGCGTACATGTCTGATGTACGCTTCAGGTGGTGGACACCATGCCCTTGTGAAACGTATCTTAAGCTTGCCATCAGTTAATATCCACGCTACAGATGATGATGGACGTACAGCATTGCATAAATGTCAATCACTAGATACATCATGGGAGTATCTGGTTAAAGCAGGACTGTCACAAACGATTCTCAATAAAGAAGGCAGAACTCCTATCCAAGAAGTAAGCAGAACAGCAGATCTTATCCGAAAAGGTAAGATATCATGGATATAGTCAGATACAATCTGATAAAAGAATTACTCCTTTGTGAAAACAGTTCTTTAGGATAGTACATTGAGTAACATCAAGATTATTTTCAAGTGAACTCTTACTTTATTTTGAAAAATAGTTCAATTCTTATTACACTTAAGGATAAGAGTTCAACAAAACCCCTGCTTTTAACTATCATAATTAAAGAAATAAAATATATTGTGACTTATACATGTATATGGTAACTGATACCAGCGAGGTACAATATGAATTAGAATGTTAAGATTATCTAGCTGAAATATTATTTGATAGTATAACGACTTACATCTCGTTATAGCCACTAGGGATCTTGTCGAAAAAAAGGAATATGTCAAATGATCAGGGCAGTCCGCACTTTACCAAATTCTGGACTTCTTGAGGCGACTTATGTAGGGGGCGGGGGCTGAAGAGATTACCTTTACCACCCGCTACTCGTAACTCCTATTAAAGCAATTAAATGCATCAGTCTCCATATCATTTTTACTTTTTTCAATTAATTATTATTTACTTAATCATGGTACTGACATTGCGGAACATATTTCAAAAAATTTTTGATTCATTAACTTAAACCCTGATAATATTTCATACGTACAACCATCATACTATCTAGTTACTGTCACATAACCCACATTTTCTATCTTTGAACTCAGTTTACTACCTGGTTCCAGTGGGAATGACTCCATCCGCCATTTTGACGTGTAGAGACACTCCGTCTCTCACAGTCATGTTTAAGTCGTGTTTGCATGAACGACAACAGTTATAGATTTTCTCATTACCTTTATTTGGATTATTTCTATTAATTCACGTATTCAAGATGAATTATTTACTCTAATAAGCCTCATATTAGGGTTTTTCCAGATAACACGTATACGTATACGCAACGTATATGGCAGATATCATACTTTCCTGGTGAATTTTTTTTATATGTTCAAATTTAAGTCCGCTTACAAGTCACTGTTATAGTATGTGTATGGAGATATTACAGATGTACAAATTGCACCACCCGTATCAAAAGTACACGTAATTTCCGTGTATCTATGTGATCGCATTGTACCCGGACCACCGCCGTGTGTTGGGAGATGTCGTGTATGGAAGAGCGGAAATGAACACGAAAATACAAATTACGTCGATGTAACAGTTTTTAATATTGGAAGACAAAACGTGATATATCACACCTTATATGCCTATATAGGGTGCCTATAACTCTAAATACTTTCAATGAATATATAACATGTTCAACATAAGTTCGATACCAACGTGTTAAAGGGACAATTTAGTGAAGTAAGTTTTGTTCTAACCTTGTCACAAAACTCCTCATGATTATATAGCTTCATACTCCCTATGAACAATCCATGTTGAGAAATTGACAAGAGACAATGTTTTCATGGCGTTTTTAATCCGTAATGGAAAAATCCTTAACTGTACTGTGCAGCCATACGTTTTAGCGGCAGCTGTCGGTGAATTAACGCAACAATATTAGAACTCTTCTTCCGCGCAATCCGGCGACAACTCATACAGTGGTGCGCTTTACCTTAAACCCTCTGAGCTTTAATACTTTTCCCTTCCTTCTAGACAATATTATTATATCCGAAGAGGGTATTAAAGACCAACTGTGTTTACTCAATGATAAAAAAAACTCCTGGCCCAGATGTCATGATACCCAAGATAATAAAGAATTTAGCACCTTCTCTAATATGTCCTCTAACTTTACTTTGTAATAAGACTATTGAATCTGGTATTATACCTCTATCTTGGAAAACAGCTAATATTAATGCAATATACAAAGGTAAGGGTGCTCGAAATGATGTCTCTAACTATAGGCCAATATCTATTACATCATGTTTTAGCAAAATTGTTGAAAAAGTTATTTTTAAATATATGTTTAATTATATGAAAGAATGTGATATCATAACGAAACATCAATCAGGCTTCTTATCAAGAGACTCGACTGTAAACCAGTTATAATCTATATATGACACTATTGTAAATAACTTGGATCAAAATAATGAAATCAGATTTGTATTTTGTGATGTAAGTAAGGCGTTTGATAGAGTTTGGCATGAGAGTTTACTTTTTAAATTGGAATCGTATGACATAAAAGGGAAAATATTGCAATGGTGTAGTAATTATCTTTCTGATAGAAAGCAGAGAGTATCAACAGAGGGTTTTTATTCAATTTTTAAGCATGTCAAAATCGGTGTACCCCAAGGCTCGGTCCTTGGTCCATTTATTTTCTTAATCTATATTAATGATATAACAGAATGTGTAACAAGTAAAATAAAACTTTTTGCAGATGATACTTCTCTCTACGAAGTAATCGACAACAATCAAAATGAAATTGCAGTGAAATTAAAAAATGATCTAGGTTGTATTAATGCATGGGCAAAAAAGTGGGATATCAACTTTTATTCACTAAAAACTGAATCTGTAATCTTCTCAAGGAAAAGGGAACAAAATCATCCAGATATCTTATTTGGTAATGAAACTGTAATTAATAAACAAACTCATAAGCATCTTGGTTTAACTTTTAGTAGTAATGGAAAATGGACATATCATATTGACAATATTTATGAGATAGCTTATAAAAGAATGAATATATTGAGAATGTTAAAACACAAATTGGATAGAAAAAGTCTTACAACAATATATACCTCTTTTATTAGACCAATACTTGAATATGGGGATGTAGTATGGGATAACTGTAGTAACCAAAATAAAAATATTCTAGAGTCAATCCAGCTAGAGGCATTAAGAATTATTACAGGATTGCGTAGAGGGACCTCTCATTGTAAGCTTTATGCAGAAACTGGACTTGAATCTCTTTGTTGTAGGCGAAAAAATGAATCGCCTAAGTACCTAAGAGACATCATTGAACCATACCTTTACAGCAGTATAAATGTAAGATACCCACTTAGAAATAGCCGTATTTTCAATTCCCCTTTCTGTAGAACTGAGAATTATTTCAATAGTTATTTTCCCTCAATGTGTAGAGAATTTAACCTTCTATCTGCGATTTAAAAATTTCATCAAGTCTGATAATATGAACAACACTGAAGAAATTGCTAGCACATTTAAATATTATGGGCCAAGAAAATTCAATATCATAATTTGTAATTAGTAATACAAATTTCTCAATTTGGTATAACTGGAAATCATGATCATTTTATTCTAAAAACTCTAATAAATGGATGCTTAATATGCAGCGCTGATAGTAACATATCCATATTTCAAAGTATATCTGACTACATTTGTCAAACTAATAGGCTTAATATGTTATCTCACTCACATCAAAACTTTACACTGAAAGTGATGCTATTATTTATAGTGTCATGATCACTCTGCTAATAAGTATTGATACTGGTGTATATTTATCTTCACAACATCTCTGGTATTCGGCTGGGCTGGATGGAATTTATGAGTGTACTATTCTATAACCTGTTAAATAAAAAAATTTATGAGAATCAACTCCAATAATATATAATAATAGCTACAATTTCCTATATGAATCCATTCTGAAATTTTACAAAATGTTTATTTCTTGGTAACTTATCCTATATATCCAGTGGGTGGATGGCGAATGTGTTAATACACAGGGACTTTTGGGCATGTATCCCTTGGATTTTATGCAGGATGGGTTGTCAATAAATATACATGATTTTTTTAAGTGTTAATATCTAAAATATAAACAGAAAATGATTAAATAAAAGTTGAAAATGTTCATTTCACAAGCTAAACTGGAGTTATCTCCTCTGCACTGTTTAATTGGATTGTTATGACAGAGTATATGTAGTGTTTGTAAATAAGTTTGGAAAGGACTTAAATAGGCCTAGCCTAATGTCCAATCCAATTGACATATATAAAGTCAATAAAATCTGTTGAAATGAAATTGAAATGAAATGAAACCCCATGAGCGTTTCCATCCTGGCAAACAAACGTCATTATATAAGTTGGTTTGGTTTGGTTTAGTATTGTTTAACGTCCTATCAACAACTATGGTCATTTAAGGACGGCCTCCCCTGTGTGCAAGATACGTGCGTGTAGTGTATGCGTGTGTATTTTTGGAGGCTGCGATAGATCCCAAATTTAGTCGCCTCTTACGATCATGCAATGGGGGCAGCAGGTACAATTCTTACGCCCCACCTGCAGGGACTTGTATAAGCTGTGTGATGTGTGAGTGTTGCAAAGGAGCGTAAGTATACAGTTTTTTGGATATATATAAGATCACAAAATGATGTCAGACAATGTGAACCAAAGGTCAAACAGGTATTGAGCATACCGCTCCTGTATCAAGACATGCACAAACAAAACACGAGAGCATGACTTCGCTTTTACCAGTTACGTTGATAGATGTAAGCCATTTCGCCCGAAGATATAATTGTGCTCACCTTATACAATTTACCGTCATTTAGGCATAGCTTGACCATGTGTAACGAAACGTTACCTACACACTCGGGTTCGACTGCCGCTTTCGCTTGCAGGTTCCATGGATTGTAAATAAAGTATGAAATAGTATTTAGGAAGCAGAGATCGGTGACACAAACAACTTAGGCAGATATAGATTTCGCACGTTTATTGTACATTCAAACTTTACAGTATAACAAGACACCTGGCGGCAGGTGGGTTTCTAAGTTTCACTACAATTTAGTGAAATATTCAGTACAACATGACCCTGTCTATAACTCGTACACGCTCTATATTCGAGCAAGCTACCTTATCACTAATCCTAAAGCCCTCCTCGAGATAACTCAAACACGTGCACGAGGACATGCGGCTATCACTTCCGCTCAATAGCTTTTCCGTTAACCCTTCTACGCTCCGCCACACGCCTTCATGTGGGCTAGAGGAGCCTACCGCTCATAGACACAACCACGGCCTGCCCAGAACATAAAGGGCGGAGAATGCAAAACATCTCTCCTTCAAACGGTATGACAACCGGCATGTCTCCCGCAAAAATATCTCTAAGTTCACCTCGCTATTTCCCTATTAAACTAACGCCATAGTACAAAAATACTACCGAGGATCTAACAATAAATGTTCAGTAAATGTTTACAACCCCGGATTCTGGAAGGATGGGCGATATAGAGTAATTAAATCATTGGATTTAGACAGCTGAAAAAGTGCTGCTTACCTGGCTGAAGTCGGGAACAAAAGTGCTCTATCCCAGAAGCCCCCTTGATTATTTCCGGTAGCGGCCGGTATAATTTTAAGGATTCTCGCAGGTCGGTGAATTAGACGGAACGCAACGCCCCAAAACCTTGGTGCGTTACACATGACACCAGTCGGTGTGGAAACATAGCACAGTCTTACCTCACTGTTTGTGCAAAGATAACATAAGTTTGATATAAATAAGAAGCTTTAACATTGTGTTTCTGTTTCCGGAACTAATTTTCGCACACTACCGGTTTTGATCGGCTGGGTTTGGATCGCTAAAGGACAGCGCGCCACCATATGCGTATGCGTATACGATACGTGTTATCTGGAAAAACCCTACTACAAGCTAACAGAGGGGATATGCGACTTCAGCAGCATATATTAAAGTGATTGCTGTGTTAATTCTGTCCAGAGAACGAAATGACGGACCCACTTCCGTTCGAGGTGCGTGCGCATAATTCAGTCTTGCATGCTTCCGCTATATAATTTCGTTATCGTAAATAGAAAGTAGAATCTCTGACACTCATCTGTGTCTTCTGATACTCTTCTCCAAATATTAATACATACTTTAAATAATTGCTGAAAACAAAATGTTTATCTCCGGTGCATTCTAAGAGTGTTGGGGTGGAGAAAACTAAATACAAATAGGAATGTTGCATTCGTGCACTGGGTTTGAGCGTTTAAGCAACTCGGATTGAGGTCTGAGGACGTTTCGAATTTCCATGCGTAAAGATTCAAGTGTTTTCTTGACTCTGATTCGAGAAGACTGTCAAGCGTTGTCGCTGTCTGTATGGTCTAGCTTTTATATTTTGTTAGTACAAGGAAGAAGTAAATATATATACTTATAAACCGTATGAGTGATGAAGTATAACCTCTATTTTGATGTTTCAAACGGGAACGTAATATGACATATCGTGCTTAGGTTGATAACGGTAATAAACTATCGTTGCTACCATTGACGTGGCTCTGAGACAAGACGATATGTGACCTGTGTATGCTTATCAAACATTTCTGTAACACAGCATGCTATTCCTGGTGTATTTATTTATGAAAATGAAACAATTTAAGAACATGACACAACTGCCGCTGCTGTTTGACAAGAATTCGCGCTGTGTCAAAATATTATCCAATCCGGTGTAAGGGAATTAACGCTTACGTTGGTACAGTCGCATCGATAAATAAAATTTAAATGTATTCCAAGAACATTTGTGAGATTTTGTGATGAATTGTATATTCAATGACAGTAGATAAAGTCACTATATATATTAAAATATGAATAAGATATATATAAAAATAAAATGAGTACAATGTCTCTTTTCTCCATGCATGTTTACCCACTACTCATTTCACAAGCACAAAATACACCTACCAGGTATTTTTTATTACCCATTCACTGATTGCCATTCTGCACGTAAACGCTCATGTCACATCATTTGAGGATGCTAATTAATGAAAATTACAACAATGCGTCACACAAGAGGGTGAAAAAAGAGGAGAGGGAGAAATGTTTTTTAAAGCATCATTTAAGAGGTGATTGATTTCGGAAATTCCAAAGGCAACATCATCACATGACCTGATTTTCAATTAGCAGAATACAGAACACATATTTGAGGTATTATAGTAGATATTGATGCTCAACGTGTTACTGAAGCAATTAAATTTAAAGTGGTGAGCGGCTTTAATGTCACACTGACATAATTCTAGTTGTTCATGTAAGTCGTATTTTTTTATAGTGACTGTTAATCTTTGTTATATTTTGTGATATGTAAGTGTTCATGTTTCTGTCTTGAAGAATGGGCCGAAAAGTTGACAAATTCCTTAGCCTGCATTATTGTTATATATACAAGGCTTGTCCACTTCCATACTTTTGTCCTCGGACATAAATGACAAGCCTCTTGAAAGGGAAATAAGCTGCAAAATACAGATTATAGTAGTAACTGCATGACTACCACATTATTTATCTATTATGTACGCACTTATGAGAAATATATATATATTTTTGTCATGATTGATTTTATTTATCAAACCTTTTTTGACATTTGCAATGCATTAACATGACATATACAAAACACTCTCTCACACAAACAATTATAACTACTCATGTTTCAGTATAACACTCATCATTTTCACCATTGTCAACATCCTCATTATCATCATCAAAACAACATGTAAAAATTTAACATCATCATCATCATCATCATCATCATCATCATCTTTGTCATAATTATCAAAACAACATGAGAATGACATCATCATCATCATGGCACTCAATCATCATCATCATTCTTGTCACCATAACCAAAATTGTCGTCATCATCGTCGTCATCATCATCATCATCCATCCATCATCATTTTCATCGTCATCAACACCACAACATAATGATATCGTCATTATCACCAAATAACATGAGAATGACATCATAATTATCATCATCATATCAAAATAACAGTATGAGAATGACATCATCGTCATTATCATCGTCATTTATACCACAAAATAATGATATCATCATTATCACCAAATAACATGAGCACGACATCATCATTATCATCATCATATCAAAACTAATGAGAAATATGTCGAATAAACGGAATTGAGGGAAATTAAAAAGCACTTTATGTTGTTCATCAAAATACTTGAATTTCGTGACCAGTTTCTGTTCCAGATTATTTCCATTGCAAAGTTATATACTGTGGTACTGCTATGGTCCCAAAATATGGAATTTTTTCAGTAAAAATGTTGACAAAATTACCTTAACGTTTGTGTCTGTTATATATCAGAACAAAATCTCAAATCACGGAACAAAGGCCGTTTATTGTATAATATGAAGTATTTTCGTAGCGATATGTAGCAAATCATTCAGGGTACATTTTATCTAAGATCCGAATCTCCGAGTTAGAAAACTCTCAATTTTTATAATTCATTCCAAAAACATCAATATAGTTGAAATGTGAAAGCGAATAAGAATCTTATAGTCTTTCCAATATTTGAATGTACATTGAAGTACCGATTTCTCAACCAAACAAAATTATTGCCAATCAAAATATCGGTCATGCGGACAGTTATCCTTTAATGCATCCGTCTTGTATGTTGTGTGCTTTTTAACAGATACTTCATACATATTTCCATCTGCGTTTGTCAGGTGTAGGCGAAAATTACTAATAAACAAGTATCACATTCTATATTGAACCTGAAAAGAGAGAATATTCTGTAATGCACCATTCGGCTTTGGTGATTAAGTATTTTTGTCTATGAAGCCCAGACAAATCTGACTAAGATTAACATATAAACGCGGAAATCAATATGTACAATATCCATTATGTAAAATACCACATTTATATTTATCATAATGAGAAGTTAGTTTCATAAATATTGAGATTCAGTAAAATACTATCATTAAGGAAGGACAGCATCTGATACTGATACAAACATGGGATACACATACATTTATGGAATATAGCTAGACATTTTAACATTACAATTTCGTCTACTACGTCGTGATAATGAAACATTTTGTCGTTATAGCGAGATAATTATAAAGAGAAACTATCTCGTTAACGTTATAACGAGACAAACAGATTGGGATGTCAACAATCAGCCACCAAAGCTTAAAAATTTACAACAGAAAACATAACAAAAACCCCATTTTTTCCCCATTGAAATGAAATCTTCATAATATATTCAGCGAGTGACAATTTTCCTCTAATAGGTGACAATCACAAACATAAACAAATAATTTATCATTGCCATTCAAACTGGGGAAACATACATCTGCAAAAACAACACGATAACATTGTCAGTTTGATAATCATATAGTATTCCACACCTACATGTAAAATGTACTCTTGATGTAATTATAATGTTTAATTACAATACTAACAAATAATTTATTTCCTTTTCCTCTGGGGTGAAGGCAACACGCATCAATTAGTCGCTGAGGGTCTTGTCGGTGCCGCTGAAATTGCCTTTAAAGGTAAGAAAATATTATTTTTACTGTTTGTACTGAAGTTGGCGAGTATTAAATAGCGAAACATTGTTCAAAGACGACCCATGTTTTGGTGAGCAGGGCTCTTTTCATTGAATAAACAGAGAAATTTTAAATAGACAAATGCAATATAACCCCCCTATTAGTTTCTTATGGGCAACTCAGAGTTTACGTAGAAAGTAATGCTTACGATCGTGAAAACAGTTTATATAATTCAAACAAATCGCTTCGACAAAAATGTGTTTTATTGCCGTGAATCAGGTAAAGTACACTTAGTGATATCAATACACCGGAACGCAAATATCATTTTCATAAAATGAAACTATGATCAGGTAAATAAGCATAAGGAGGAAATTGATCAGGAACTTTTCATAAGAAGCAGACAAAAGATTTTGTTCACGGTCGTTAACTTTTCTTATTCATTAATTTATCAGCCCCCCCCNTACAAAGCATGTTCGTAGCATAATAATTGTCTGCATAGATGTATCATGCTAACCGATGAACCAAGTATGGCCGCACTTAATTTTCACACTTCAAATAAGGATATCCCGCGTAATACCCCCGTGCTAGATTGTTTAATCTCGTACGATCTGTCAAGTACTATTATGTGTCTTTGGCGTAAAATTTCGCCAGGCAATATAGTCATCCGAACAACGGCTCAAAATCATTAACCTGCGTTGAAGATACACATTTGTTGTTATATATATACATAACATTATCTATATATTTCAATTCAAACATAGAATTATGTCATTTATTATAACGGTCTCTATTGTTTACGCGGAAGTATTCAAACCTAGCTTTGTTAGTACAGAGGTCATACGGTTCTCCAAAGGGTAAATATTGTGTGACCAGAATTGATTTGCCCTTGTGAAATAAGTGAAAAATGTCTGTAGTTAATTGAGATTTAGATATTAGGCTCTGGCTATGATTATGTTATATATCTATATCAAGTTACTTCAAAAGCGACTTTATACTTACTGTAAACGTATATGTTTTAGCTGTAATCTTTTTTTTTTATCGTTTTAAGACCACCTGGTCCGAAGGACCATGGTGATCATGAGCTTATGCTTGCTATACCGCAGCGACCGTCGTCCGTCCGTCCGTCAACTTTTCCTAAAAATTCTACTAGTCATGAACGACTGAGCACATTTTGACCAAAGTTTGTCAGAAGCATTCCTAGGGGAAGGGGAACAAATTGTGTATAAATGGTGGGTCTGTTCCCCCATTGGGGCTGCGGGGCGGGCCCACTATAGCAAGTTCTTTAAAATCCTTCTTCTTTTGTAGGAATGAAAGGATTTGTTCCATATTTGATCAGAAGCATTCTTGGGGGAAGGGGAACATATTTTGTATAAATGGTTGGTCTGCCCCCCCCCCCCCCCGGGAGCCTGAGGGGCGGGGCCCAATAGGGGAAACACAGGAAATTATTATTTAAAATCCTTCTTCTTTTGTAGGAATGAAAGTATTTGTTCCATATTTGATCTGAAGCATTCATGGGTGAAGGGGAACCAATTTTGTATAAACCGTGGGTCTGGCCCCCTGGGGGAGGGGCGGGGTCCAATAGGGGAAAGATAGCAAATTCTTTAAAATCCTTCTTCTTCTGTAGGAATGACAGGATTTGGTCCATATTTGATCTGAAGCATTCTTGGGTGAAGGGGAACCAGTTTTGTATAAAACGTGGGTCTGACCCGCCAGGGGCCTGAGGGGCGGGGCCCAATAGGGGAAACATAGCAAATTATACTCTAAACTCCTTCTTCTTCTGTAGGAATGAAAGGATTTAGTCCATATTTCGTGTGGAGCATCCTTGGGTAAAGGGAAACCAATTTCGTAAACAGCGAGTGTGCCCCCCCCCCCCCTGGGGGCAGAAGGGAGAGGCCCAATAGGGGAAACATTGCAAATTCTTCAAATACCTTCTTCTTCTGTACGAATGACAGGATTTTGTCCAAATTTGGTATCAAGCATCCTTGGGTGAAGGGGAACCAATTTCGTATAAACGGTGTGTATAAGTTATAACCTTCCTGGAGGCAGAGAGGCGGGCCCAATAGGGAAAATAAAGGTAAAACCTTTAAAATCTACTTTAAATTCTATAATAGGAATTAAGGGATTTTATCCTAATTTAGTCTGGAGCAGCCTTAGGCCAAGGGGACTCAGTTTTGTATAAGCAGTGGCTGTGGTCTCCCAGTGGGCAGAAGAGCGGGGCCCAATAGGAGAAATAGAGGTAAAACTTTTAAAATCCTTCTTCGACCATCGGGATTAAGGGATTTTATCCTCATTAAGTCTGGAGCATCTTTGGGCCAAGGGATTTCAATTTTGGATAAATGGTGGATTTGGCCCCCTGGGGCTGAGGGGCGGGGCCCAATAGGGGATATATAGCAAATTCTTTAAAAATCCTTCTTCTTCTGTAGGAATGAAAGGATTTGTTCCATATTTGATCTGGAGCATTCTTAGGTGAAGGGGAACCAATTTTGTATAAACCGTGGGTCTGGCCCTTTGGGGGAGGGGCGGGGTCCAATAGGGGAAAGAAAGCAAATTCTTTAAAATCCTTCTTCTTCTGTAGGAATTAAAGGATTTGGTCCATATATTTGATCTGAAGCATTTTTGGATAAAGGGGAACCAGTTTTGTATAAAACGTGGGTCTGACCCGCCAGGGGCCTGAGGGGCGGAGCCCAATAGGGGAAACATAGCAAATTATACTCTAAACTCCTTCTTCTTCTGTAGGAATGGAAGGATTTAGTCCATATTTCGTGTGGAGCATCCTTGGGTAAAGGGAAACTAATTTCGTAAACAGCGAGTGTGCCCCCCCTCCCCCCCTGGGGGCAGAAGGGAGGGGCCCAATAGGGAAAACATAGCAAATTCTTCAAATACCTCCTTCTTCTGTACGAATGACAGGATTTTGTCCAAATTTGGCATGAAGCATCCTTGGGTGAAGGGGAACCAATTTCGTATAAACGGTGTGTATAAGTTATAACACTCCTGGAGGCAGAGAGGCGGGCCCAATAGGGAAAATAAAGGTAAAACCTTTAAAATCTACTTTAAATTCTACCATAGGAATTAAGGGATTTTATCCTAATTTAGTCTGGAGCAGCCTTAGGCCAAGGGGACTCAGTTTTGTATAAGCAGTGGCTGTGGTCTCCCAGTGGGCAGAAGAGCGGGGCCCAATAGGAGAAATAGAGGTAAAACTTTTAAAATCCTTCTTCGACCATCGGGATTAAGGGATTTTATCCTCATTAAGTCTGGAGCATCTTTGGGCCAAGGGATTTCAATTTTGGATAAATGGTGGATTTGGCCCCCTGGGGCTGAGGGGCGGGGCCCAATAGGGGATATATAGCAAATTCTTTAAAAATCCTTCTTCTTCTGTAGGAATGAAAGGATTTGTTCCATATTTGATCTGAAGCATTCTTGGGTGAAGGGGGGTCCAATTTTGTATAAACCGTGGGTCTGGCCCTTTGGGGGAGGGGCGGGGTCCAATAGGGGAAAGAAAGCAAATTCTTTAAAATCCTTCTTCTTCTGTAGGAATTAAAGGATTTGGTCCATATTTGATCTGAAGCATTTTTGGGTGAAGGGGAAACAGTTTTGTATAAAACGTGGGTCTGACCCGCCAGGGGCCTGAGGGGCGGAGCCCAATAGGGGAAACATAGCAAATTATACTCTAAACTCCTTCTTCTTCTGTAGGAATGGAAGGATTTAGTCCATATTTCGTGTGGAGCATCCTTGGGTAAAGGGAAACCAATTTCGTAAACAGCGAGTGTGCCCCCCCTCCCCCCCTGGGGGCAGAAGGGAGGGGCCCAATAGGGAAAACATTGCAAATTCTTCAAATACCTTCTTCTTCTGTACGAATGACAGGATTTTGTCGAATTTTGGTATCAAGCATCCTTGGGTGAAGGGGAACCAATTTCGTATAAACGGTGTGTATAAGTTTTAACCCTCCTGGATGCAGAGAGGCGGGCCCAATAGGGAAAATAAAGGTAAAACCTTTAAAATCTACTTCAAATTCTACCATAGGAATTAAGGGATTTTATCCTAATTTAGTCTGGAGCAGCCTTAGGCCAAGGGGACTCAGTTTTGTATAAGCAGTGGCTGTGGTCTCCCAGTGGGCAGAAGAGCGGGGCCCAATAGGAGAAATAGAGGTAAAACTTTTAAAATCCTTCTTCGACCATCGGGATTAAGGGATTTTATCCTCATTTAGTCTGGAGCATCTTTGGGACAAGGGATTTCAATTTTGGATAAATGGTGGGTTTGGCCCCCTGGGGCTGAGGGGCGGGGCCCAATAGGGGATATATAGCAAATTCTTTAAAATCCTTCTTCTTCTGTAGGAATGAAAGGATTTGTTCCATATTTGATCTGGAGCATTCTTAGGTGAAGGGGAACCAATTTTGTATAAACCGTGGGTCTGGCCCCCTGGGGGAGGGGCGGGGTCCAATAGGGGAAAGAAAGCAAATTCTTTAAAATCCTTCTTCTGTAGGAATTAAAGGATTTGGTCCATATTTGATCTGAAGCATTTTTGGGTGAAGGGGAAACAGTTTTGTATAAAACGTGGGTCTGACCCGCCAGGGGCCTGAGGGGCGGAGCCCAATAGGGGAAACATAGCAAATTATACTCTAAACTCCTTCTTCTTCTGTAGGAATGGAAGGATTTAGTCCATATTTCGTGTGGAGCATCCTTGGGTAAAGGGAAACCAATTTCGTAAACAGCGAGTGTGCCCCCCCTCCCCCCCTGGGGGCAGAAGGGAGGGGCCCAATAGGGAAAACATTGCAAATTCTTCAAATACCTTCTTCTTCTGTACGAATGACAGGATTTTGTCGAATTTTGGTATCAAGCATCCTTGGGTGAAGGGGAACCAATTTCGTATAAACGGTGTGTATAAGTTTTAACCCTCCTGGATGCAGAGAGGCGGGCCCAATAGGGAAAATAAAGGTAAAACCTTTAAAATCTACTTCAAATTCTACCATAGGAATTAAGGGATTTTATCCTAATTTAGTCTGGAGCAGCCTTAGGCCAAGGGGACTCAGTTTTGTATAAGCAGTGGCTGTGGTCTCCCAGTGGGCAGAAGAGCGGGGCCCAATAGGAGAAATAGAGGTAAAACTTTTAAAATCCTTCTTCGACCATCGGGATTAAGGGATTTTATCCTCATTTAGTCTGGAGCATCTTTGGGACAAGGGNCTGGAGCATCCTTGGGACAAGGGATCTCAATTTTGGATAAACGGTGGGTATGACCATCCTAGGGGCATAGGGGTTGGGGTCTTTTTGAAGTTTGCTCTTGCTATATCTCAAGTACTGGATGGATCTTTCTGAAATTTCATATGTTCTTACGGCACACCTACCATGGAGTGCTATATCTTTATTTCATTCCAATAATTTAAGCATATCCAGGTGAGCGATACAGGCCCTCTGGGCCTCTTGTTTTGAAATAAATATATTTATATTATCACCACATTAAGTTAGATAAAAGAATATTAAAATGCGCTTTTTTAGAAAAGATTCGAAATTGGATTCGGATTGTGGGTACTGCGTCATCCCATTTCACAACAAACAAACGCCGACAGAGCCATCCTCCAATAATCATTGTTGGGACACATATGGATCTAGTGAGGCTCTTGTATAAGGTAAATAAAATGTTTCATTCTAGTCAAGTTCAACGTGTTTGCAAATGCATCCGTAAATGCGCTTGTCTATTTGACAATGACAACACTCTGACAACATTGGAAAAGTATTGGTATTTACAAAGTAATTTAAGTAATTAATATGCCTAGCAATATACCGTCCAGTACGCAGTATAATCGACAAGAAGTGGCAGCGATTTTCATGGTAAATGTGGGAAAACACATTTTCTAGATATCTGATAATTGTCTATCTACGATATACAATAATATGCGTGTTTGAAAAATAGATTATAAAATTGTCTCGGTATTTCAGTCAGATAGATATGACCTGACTAAAAAAAACACATTTAAGTGTCTTTGTCATTGCATTATAATATCCGGTCTTGCTTAAATGAAATCGGTATTTCGACACATATACCATTTGATATTATACTTATAACAATTTATCCTGTAACAAAGGGTTTTAGACATAAACAATGTTATCATCTATATTCTACTTTATACCAACTACCGGTAGCATGATAAATCAATTATCATTGGTTGTCAGTATGAGAAGTTGAGAACGACTTGAGAAGAACTTGAGAACGGATTTTCCCATTTCCAAGCACTTGGGAACGTATTTTCTCAAATTAGAACGTCTACTCGCGCCAGGTGACTTCCGAAACCGGAAATTGTGTCCACCTCAAAAGTGATCCGCGTAAAAAAAAAGACCGTCATAAAAATATCAATACAAATTTAGGAAAAAATATTGTAAAAATAACAATACTATTTCAAGCGTAAATGTGCATATGGAAAAGCCAATGACGATAAGATTGTTTTAAAAATATACTTTTTTCTACATAGGTTTAAGGTTCATGGTATTCCTCCGCGCAATCTATTTGTTTACGTTTGCCACAGGCCGAGAATTTGCGATCGATGACCATTGAGCAAAGAAGTCGTTTGGAAAATATGATGTTTGGTTGATTTTTAAAATGAAGAAATATATAAGGTAGTAGTATATAGAGAATAAACAGTTTATCACACATTATTTTAAGGGTTTGTCGTTCGAACAATATCCTCATCGCTCGCACGTGGATAAAATCGAAAGGCAACCGCAGTGTGACAATTTGTAAGTAACATACATGTATACTACGCATCAAAATTGCATAAATCGTGAAAATTATATAAAAAAAAAAAAACAATAACAGGAGAACACCGAATATGAGATATTTTTATGGAAACTTTTGCGAAAATAAACGAGGAGAATAATACCAGGTGGGGGCCGCCGTGGCCAAGTGGTGAATGCGTCTGACAATCTACTACTACTAGTTCTCCACCACTGGGTCGCGGGCTCGAGGCATACGTGGAGCAGTTGCCAGGTACTGACCGTAGGTCGATGGTTTTTCTCCGGGAAACCGGCTTTCTTCCACCACTAAAACTTTGAACATCCTTAAATGACCATAGCTGTTAATAGAACGTAAAACACAAACAAATCAAACCAAATAGGACCCTCATAGCACAAAATATAGCATATTTACCTATGCTATTATGATTGCGACCGTTCTTCATCAACCCTTTGTTGTACGTTTGTCTGTCAGTCGTCATGATATTCGGAGCAAGTGCTTGAATTAATTGTGACATGTAAAAAAAAAGATTTTTTAAAATCTTTGCAAGTGATTTTTTCTCACTAGGTCCGTTTGAACAATATAACTGAAAACAGCCTTTAATTTGACATGTATGTGCTGATATAAATTGTATGTCTTTTTCCTTTGTGAAGTATTTGTATTTTAAATATATAAAACCAATTGTGAAGGAATCTAACCAAAGGATAAGAAATGATATCAAGAAGTTTGAATACGGGGAAATCGCTTGTTTTCCTTTAAATAACACCTTATTTCAATCTTGACACGTTGCTTTTAGCACTTTCCAAAAACGTCGTTAAGTATATAAATGGTATATAAATAGTTTCGGTTTGATGTAGCGTTATTTTAGTAACATGTGAATAGATATGAACATTTTGCATTTGCGAATTTGAGGTACTAAGGACGGGAGAGACTGAAACCAATGAAATGCTTTAATATAGGCATATATTGTTTTGTGTTTCAATAAAGAAAATTATTTAAAAAAACACGAATAACTCAAAAATAAATAACTGAAAAGATATTTTCTTTATTACAAAATACGAGTGCGGTAATAGTTATTGTTATAAGAAGGCTCTTTTTGACCTCTTTAGGCGTGCAGATCGTGTAAAAATAACCTCCTTCTTCAGCACTTAAAACTAACTATAGTAAAATTTATTATCGAATTCTTCAGGATCAAAAGGAAAGAGATCAGAGAATAAAAAATCTGGAAGATGCCATTGGTCGTTTACCGGAAATATCGAAAGACAAAGGACGTGTAAAGTATACATTCTTGCACTTCCTTAAGGTCGACAATTCCATACAGGATGATCCAGCCATTGAAAAATTGCGACATATCATTCTTGATGCAGCTGAACTCCAAGACCAATGGATGAGAGAAATTCCAGCAAACTGGATTTCGTTGGAGAGGGCAATACTTTATACCAGGACTAGTTTTCCTGTTTTAACTTTAGAGGAAGTGACTGCACTGGATGCCGTTTGTGAAAAACCTATAGAAGATAAAGCAGCAATTAGCTTATTTCTAGAGTAAGTAATGACACATTCGACAAGTAAAATTACGTAATTCAAAGGTAAATATAAAATCTTCCCATTTGTAGTGAATTTTGTATTTGAGCTTCGAAACAAATAAACAAAGTGATTTAATGAATACTTTCAAGGTCTATTTCGTTTATTTCCTTTTTTCGAACAGAAAGTGTTTATTATTTCACATTGTTATAACACGCAAAGGAATATCATACATATATGAAGAATACTTGTTTTCCAGGTTTTTGGACTGCACCAGGTCGGTGATTTACACCACTGAGTTTGACACGGTGATAACCAATCCACAGTGGCTTCTAGATGCATTAAGTGTTATCATCACTGATGTTCAGTTCATGCCAAATGAAACTGACATTCTTTTAAAAAATGATCTTCAGTTATATCAGGAAAAAGGTTTGTTGACATACAGTCTCGTACAGGAACTGTTCGAAAAAAGTGGCAACGAAACACATCGCAACCATTTGGATATCATTTTGAAACATTTTGTTCGGTTTGGAATGATTGTGAAGAACGTCATCTCTGAGCATAAGAATGGACAGCCAGGTGACAACAACGCCTACATTGTTCCAAGCAAGTTAGAGACATTGACCGATATCCGCGAAATTGCAAATGTGATTCGGACCAAAGCAAGAATAGTTACAAAAGCGTTGTGTTTCCAGGTCAAAGGGGACTTAATACCACTCGAAACATTCGATAAGATATATGCTGGTATTCTTCAAGAATATGACCCTCTTAGATTAACACCAAGACAATGTCCAGACAACTGGTGTCAAAAGATCACATATATCTCACTAGGTATATTAAAAGATTCAGAAGATAAGGAGACCAAAAGTATCTACCGGAATTTTGGTTGCTTTGCTGTCGACGATTCGACGAACATGATTGTGTCTGTGCACTGGGAGCAATCGTGCATCACCATCACTCTATTTAGTCACATAGATGACACTATTCCCGGAACAGTAGCACGGGTGATTCGTCAAAGGATTGATGATATTATAAAGAAAACACTGAGTGTGTGCAAACAGGACAATATAGCCTACGAATACAAACTACACTGTAGTTATCAGATTGACCACGGAGACCAACCAAGGGACCGTACCGCTATCCTTGAAAAAGAGGGCGGTGTACAATGTCTAGGTAAAAAATGTAGGAGGAAACATACTTTATGCAAGGAGGACTGGATATTCTGGCTACCAGACTTAGGTGATTCACCAGCACAGGTGAGTATATGTCTAACATACTCTGTTATGCCGTAATTGCGGGATTAAACCTATTGCAGTATATCCTAGAATATTTTTCGGGACTTAAATTAAACATTAAAAGTAGATAACAGCTATAAATTATTACAGGATGTCAACGCATTTGCAGGGTATATAAAAAAAAGAGTCTAAAATGAAAGATCCACAAAATATAAGCGTTAAACAGTTCTCTATTTTACAGATTATGACAATGCCAAAAATGGCTTTGATCAGAACTTGTTATCAAAACACTGTAGAATAGCTATGGTTTGCGCACACTATATTTTTAGGAAATTTCTGTTTAGCGAGGATAAAGCATGAATAATTGGTGAAGCTTGAACTGGTAAAATTTCGCAAATAAAATATTATGTCCAAGAAACATTATCAATCTACGTAAGTTGTTTTAGGGACGCTTACTTTTAAAGACGTTTTCACCTTTTTGTTCTGAGATTGGAACAGTGATAGAAATAGTAAACATCTGTATATTGCGTATTTTTGTTCGATATGATCAATTGAAGTAAAGTGGTTTTTCTACATTTGTTACATCATATCATAGATAATCAAAAATGAGCAAATCAATCCATGTCCAGTATTTCTTTTTAGGCATGATTGAATTAAGTGAATTCTTGAAGTGACCTGAATTATTTCTAACTACACGATTAAAATAAAATCGTAGGATTTAAAGCTATATTATTTCTAACTACACGATTCAAAACACATTTTATTTCTTATTGCAGGATTCAAAAACACAAAGGGACATAAAACAGCTACACGCCGAAATGATACGGGAATTATCGTTATATATCAACCCCAGGCTACCCGAAGACTGGAAAACCTTTCAGACATCAATGGAAGTTTACTTAGGTCGAGTGGATATTTTTGGAACACACGTGACTGGACTCTCTGACATATGTAGGACACTGATGGACACAAAACTCATACGCTATGGAGAGTATGCCGCGCTGCGTTCTTCAGTGGAAGACATACATGTAGAGGCTGCTACGATCATTGATAACGCCACGTCAGACATCAACAAAATCAATCAGGGACAATGATGACGTCACTTCCTTCTGCATCGTAGCTGTCCGAATTTCTACCGATGACGTCACAGAATCATCTTTATTTAGTTGCTTTTACACATTCGAGGCACGCCAATAAATTACCTAAGCTTTTATAAGGACGCTTACACCATTCAAACCAATCTTTCTGTGGCTGGTTTAACAAAACGGTTGAGGAAATATCTAACGTACAATGTATTGGCCGAAATCAAGAGACAACTTGTGATGCTAAGTCAGAAATTCTCCGAGTATCGAGTTAACCTGAAATGCCCTGTTACTGAGGATATTCAGATAGTTCAAATGTATTGAAGATTCATAAAATCTCGATCATCTGGATCATCTGAAACTAATACATCATTTGGATTACTTCTCCAGGATGGAAGTACCTGCATCATTTGTAACAAATCTATCGTTAGGATTACTCAACCAGATATGGAGCTTTAATAAATATATATCATTTTGATGGAGCACATGGATCATCTGTAACTAATACATCATTTGGATTACCCTACCAGGATTGGAGCACCTGAATCATATGAAATAATGCAACAATTGGATTACCCTACCACGATCGGATCACCTTAATCATCTGTAACAAATACATAATTTGGATTACCCTACCAGAATTGGAGCACATGGATCATCTGTAACAAATACATAATTTGGATTACCCTCCCAGGATTGTAGTACCTGGATCATTTGTAACTCCAACACCATTTGGATTACTCTACCAGGATTAGAGCACCTGAATCGTCCTTAACAAAAACAGCATAAGGATTACTTCTACAGGTTTAGAGTACCTGGATCATATGTATTACCAGGATTAAAGCACATCTGGATCACCTGTAACTAATACATCATTTGGATTTCTCTACAAGGATTTAAGCTCTTGGCTTTTCCGTAGCTTTTATATCATTTGGATTACTTAACCAGGATTATAGCACCTGGATCATTTACAAAAGTACATTATTTTGATTACTTTACCGGGATTGGAGCACCTGGATCATCTAAAAGGAATTTATCATTTGGATTACTCAACTAGGAATGGAGCACCTGAGTGTTCTGTAGCTATTAAACATGTGGATTACTTTGCCAGGATTGGATCACCTGGATCATCTATAACTAAAACATCATTCTGAATACTCTTTCAGGTTTAGAGCTAAGAGTTTCTGGATAAACAGTAACAATTACATCATTTGGATTACCCAACCAGGATTGGCCACCTGGATCACCTGTAACTAATTCCTCATTTGAATAACTCTACCAGGATTTGAGCACCTGGATCATCTGTAATTAATACATCATTTGGATAACTCTACCAGGATTGGAACATCTGGATCTTCTGTTACAATAACATCATTTGGATTACCCTACCAGGGTTGGACACATGGATCACCTGTAACTAATTCATCATTTGGATAACTCTATCAGGATTGAAGCACCTGGACTTGCTGTAGCTTTTATATCTTTTGGATTACTTTACTAGGATTATAGCACCTGAGTCATTTGTAAAAATACATCATTTGGATTATTCTACAAGGATTGGAGCACCTGAATCAGTTGTAAAAATACATCATTTGGATTATTCTACAAGGATTTGGAGCACCTGAATCAGTTGTAAAAATACATCATTTGGATAACTCTATCAGGATTGGAGCACCTGGACTTGCTGTAGCTTTTATATCTTTTGGATTACTCTATAAGGATTGGAGTACCTAGATCATTTGTAAAAATACATCATTTGGATCACTCTACCAGGATTGGAGCACCTGGATCATCTGTAAAAATGCATCATTTGGATTATATATAATTTGTACCAATATCATACTTGATATACTACAAGTATAACGTCGTCAAATACGTTATGTTTTCACTTCGGTTTAGTTTTTTTTGTAATTGTTGGTTTCGTTTCATCATGTTAATGTACAGGTCAAAGTTTTCGTATCGTCGGAAACAAACCACACAACCAGTATGCTTTTATAAACTTTGTGAAGTTCTCTGTTCTACCAAATATTATAATTACATCGTGACTCGTCCATGTGAGACGCCATTTCTATTAACGTTGCGATGTGACACTATATAATCTACTTCGGTCCCTCCAATATGTATGTCATTATTACATTGTAAATGCAAGCTTGAAAATAGTTCTGCATCAAAAACTCAAGTTTCTGATATCATGGATGTGATCTCTCGTTAACATCGTCTTGATAAAATTTATGTATTAATTATGTAGTTATTTTAATTAAATCACCCAAAGCTAAATGCATAGAATGTACATAAACAGATTGAACTATTGCCCAATTCCCATTGAATCATTTGATTTAATAAAATATTTTGAAATGAAAAAAAAATGGAAAAAAAATGAACTACTGTTATGCAGCGACTAAAGTAGGCCTCTTCTACTGCATAACTACAATGATCTCCCTATTTATTTCATTAGGCGAGTAAGGATATGTGAACTTTTAAACATTTTAGCACTTACTAATGAAGTTGGTTCCATTACGGAAACAGAGTAAGCATATCTTGTATGTATATTAAACAAAATATCAGTCCATGATCGGCACAAGCCTGTAGTTGCCACTGTTACAATAATGATACCATATAGTATATTACGACAAGGTCAGTGGACACGAAATCCACTGTTCCCTAGTGATGTGGTTTCATTGGAATTTAGAAGGCTTCGTTTAAGCCAAATATTTACATTTCCACTGCACATAGCCTAGATGTTTCTACTGGCCCAATGTATGTTATTTCCGTATAACATACATTTGGCCATTGTAACGTCGCTCACTTATGACGTCATAACTGTAACGTTGGAGATTGCACTGATCCAGTGTCAATTGGTGGCTGTTCTCTGTATGGATTTACCCTGACGTTAAAACATGTTCAGACTAATATATTATGTCTTTATTTCTGCGTGAACTGTAAGTTGATTAACATAAAATGTAAATATAAGTACTGGTTGTCATATTTTTGACATGTATTGGTGTGTAACATACATTGGCTAGCGCGCACAATTCAATATGTAGGTAAGCCAATGTATGTTACACACCAATGCATGTCAAAAATATGACAAACAAGTGCAAAACAAAATGTTGATATATTTTTTATATCTTATTACACTGAAGGTTTACATGTAGATGAAAAGTTTGCCATATAGAACTAATCTTATACCCTAGAATAGTTATGATTGATTAAGAATTAACTTGGAGGAACTATGTCTTTTGCATATATTTTTATTATGTGATAAAAGCGATTTTTACGTTGCCCAGAAGTATTCGTTGGTTTGCCGTAGGCACGTTCGAATATATATTTAACTGTATTGATTTGTAATATGAACATCATATAAAATGATATTTAAGATTCTATTTAAACATGAGAAGGAGTAAGAACAAGATGATGTTCAATGTGATTATATATTGCCTGTGATGTTTACATATGTATATCTACATACATACAATCCATCTGCTAAAGAGACCATCTCTGTGAACTTTTGGAGGTCACGTGCATTAGGAGAACGCTCATAAAACTTCACATTGCAGTTATTTTCATATTAACTGAACCTGTAATAAGAGACTGCAATAGCAGATCACTTAATTTCATGATCTTTTCGAAGATCTCTGAATACATGTTCTCGGTGTAAGTTATCCTGTTTGTGATATTTTTATATCATAAAAAAATGTTTTTTGGATTTGGTTAAAGAACAAGGTTTATCCTACAGTACCTTTGTAATGTCATTTTAATGATATGGTATTTGTATGACTTTTGTACAGCTAATGTTGTGTGGTGTTGTCATACAAATGTTAATACATTCATAACACAATGAATAGTTTGATCAATCGTTCAAGAGTGTTGAAATGCTGTTCTGCAGTTTACGATATCTGGAGAATAGGAATAATTACACTCACTTATAAGTAATTATATATATATAATTGCTTCTTTGTCGCAGATAACCGAGATCATACCTTGTTAAACTGCATGTAATCACCAACGTTATGTTAGTGACGTCATAGTCACCGGAAGTCAATTCCAAGTGTGTACTTGAAATTAGGTATTGACAGCTTCAAGTAAGGCAAGCACAATACAAATTCAGATATCCTTTACTATCACACTACTAGAAGTATATATGCAATACTTTCTGATGTGAATGTTTGATATAACAGCATGTTATACTAAACAACACACATTTGATTTGATGATGAGAGTCGTCAGAGGGTTTAGTATATGTCAATATATATACGAACCTGCTAGAAAGACCGCCTCTATAAGGAGACCAACTGTATTGAAATACCTCCTTTTTAACTGTTAATTGAACCATTATCAAGAACAATCTGCAACACGTGACCAGTTTTGGTCTTCCAGAAGGTGGTCTTCTATTGCAAGTTTGACTGAGAACGTTCAATCCCGATCGATGCTATCGCTGTTCACTGAAGTATCGATTGATGTAAGGTTGATTCTTTTGTCATTTTTTTTGTTTATGATAATACAAACCATGATGTAACAATAACTTAAGTTGTGTTTTGGATAAAAAGCATTCAATTTTTGTTTTAGGTTTTTGCTTAATTGTCTTTTCGCGTATTACATTGAACTGTTTTTCTATCTAAGATCACAGACAAAATTCAAGAGCGAAATACGTAGTTTTTGTTAATTTTGTTAGAATGCAGTTCAATTCATGTTTTAATATTTACGATGTTTGGAAGGTATTGATGTCATAATTTAGTATTTTTTTATTTTTTTTATTTTTTTGAAAAAACTTGATTAGCATTCAACTGTTTTTCTGTTTAAGATCACAGACAAAATTCAAGAGCTACGTACGTAGGTTTTTACAAATCTTGATAATTTTCTTCGAATAAATATATCTGAGATTTTAACTTCAATTTTAAGTGTATCCGCTAGGTATGCCGCGAGATCTCAATCACCAAGCGTGTAAAATGCAGTCAGAACAAGTGAAGATGTTGTACTCATTCTTAAACCGACTCAACTTCGAAACATTTGGTGAAGTCATAACGTGTTGAAAGCCGATTCCTTACTTAACGCGTCTTGATATAAAACATAACTTATATGAGAATGGTCAATAAAATTACCAATGCTGTAGATAAATTAATGTATCAAACTCCGTTAAGTGGTTAGATCTTTGATTAGGTAAACAAATTTATTGACAAGCCAAGGTACAACATTCTGTACTGCAAAACAGTACTTCTATATTTTTTAAAATAAATTGTGGCTGACTTGACGTCATAATATAATAATGATAAAACTTTGACGGGAATCTACAGCAGTACTAGTACTAACCTTTACAAAGTACTACAGTGGGAAAGTTTATGATTGTTTCGTGTGTGAGACCCCACGACATACCTAGCAGATACTCAACATATCCCGATGAAATGACAATGTTGTTGTTGTTACATCGACATTTATGTAAACTAGTATAAGCAAGATCTGTTACTATAACAAATGTTGTCACAATAAATTAAATTATTCAAATATATTTGAACTTTGTTGTGCTTTTTGTCTTGGTTTAAATTAATGACATAAATATTAGCAACATTTTGTTATCTTTCGTGATAAGGAAATAGCAAGAGACAAGTGTGACCGTTATTGCTCATCTGTTTCTTACTTGCTTGACTTAATAATTTCAAACCAAAGTTTGAATATCAATCAATTGTTCCTTAAAACTGTCGTTGCATCAGTTACAAAGTAAAGAGTTGCGGGAAGGTCAAAATACAATCCAAGGATAACGTTTGAAAGTGGTCTGATAGATGGGTATATTCAAACAGGAAAATAACACATCAGTTTTAACAATTGAATAGGTGAACTATGTAAACGGAATGGA